CTGTTCTTCGTAGTAGCAGCCAAGCTATTAGATACAGCCATGGTCAATTGTGTCTATCCGTCCAGTGTTTCAAGCCTGATGTGTCGTGCACATCCCTACATTGCCACTGGAGGATGCTGTCACATTTTTATACTTCGTCATCCTTCTGGTCATTTTCCTTTTTTCGGAGTGTGCTTGTGTTACATGTCTTACGTGTATTAGTGGACTGCACCTTGACATTGGGCACATTCCACAAGGAAGGAATCATGATATATTTTACCACTGATGTTTCCATCTAGAAACCCTTATAAATGAACGTATTCATTTATAAAGCACAATCCTACAGATATGTTCAAAAGTGCTGTACAAAGAAGACAATAAACACGGTCGAGCAAATGGCAAATAAGGGGCCCCAGGCAGCTGCCAAATGACAAACAATCCATCCACATCTATAGAGAGGAGACAATAAGCAGGAGCTACAGGTTTAGAGGTGGGAGGAAAACCCCAGAGAAGAAATTTCTGGGTGAAGCCCACAGAATCAGGTAGGGACTGAATACCCAATCCACATGTGAACCAAGCCGGGGACTCCAAACCTGGGCCACAGAGGTGAAAGGCAAGGAGAGAACTACTTTGCCAACCCAGCTCCCCTATTGGCTAACCATCTGTAAAGAAAGCGAGCTTGCAACTTGCTCAATGCCTTCAGCAGTCTTGCACCGAGCAGATTCATTTTCGCAATGGCAGTTGAGGTCCTCACCAGTTTCTTTGTCGTGATTATTTGTCCTAGATTGACGAGGAGCTGTCAGCCAAGATTAACATGGGAGACACCAGGTTCTCCTTCCAGAATCGTGGCAAGTTCTTCCACCCAGCCTGGGCCGCACCAGAGGGTAACGTCACTCCTCCCTTGTCATTCTCATAGATCTTCAGCTGTCTGTTTTTATAGTGGATCAGAGTAGCCACTTGAGGGGTTCTGATTGTGTTTGTGGCTTGAATTAGTCCTTGAAGGTTTGACGTGTGGGGAGCACTCAAGTGGCTTAGCGCCACGGCCAGGTGCTGTAGCAAATATCACTTTGTGACATTGTCTCCGAGTTTCAAAAACGGGTTGATGCCTTAAGAATTGTCTCACAAATTTTGATCAGATGACCACCAAGGGTCAACATTTGTGTTGTCCGATTTTATAAAGATCTTCGGTTGTGGTAGCTTGTCCTTTTTTAAAATCAGTGTTTTTGGCTTGGACAAGTTTGGTTGAGAATTGCGTGGTTCAGACGTCATTACACCACTACCCTCACTGCATCAGTCGTCTTTCATTGTTTCTACAACCCTCCCAGATCCTCAAAAAATTCACCAGGGGTTTTAACAGAGGATTTCACAGCCATAAAGAAGATAGAACCTGGCCACTGTCCGGGGGCATTGATGCCCCTCGACAGTTAACGTCAAAAGTCACAAGAGTAATGCCATTCATGTACCCTATGTTGGAGGAATTTGGGTGAATGGAGGAAGGTACCAATTAAGAATGTGTTGGAAGTGTGGATGGAATGGCAAAGGGTCCAACATTGTTTTTGAGATAACAAGTCCACCCTTGCGTCCACCCTTACTTTCATGGGTTATGTAATGACCGCACTGAAGATAACGATGTGATGATGACCAGGCTGTTAATAGTTTGTCTGTTTAACTAATCAGCTCTTCAGAAGAACCCGGAGGAGATGAACGTAAGAGCAGCGGACATGTGGAGCTTTGCCATTCTGCTGTGGGAGCTTGTGACTAGGGAAGTCCCTTTTGCTGGAATGACACCCATGGAAATCGGCATGAAGGTAGAAAAGGAGTGTTTTCCCCTTGTAGAGGGTTTGCATGGCTGCCATCTTGCAGGTCAGCGCTTTTTGTTCCACAGGGTACGCACAGAGGAAATTTCTCTGTGGAACAAAAGAACTGCCCTACAAGATGGCTACCGTGCAAAGCCTTTCTTGGAAATTTGGAATATTTACCTATTCGGTGTATGGCATATGTTTAAAGGACAGATTTTGAAAATCCAGTCATCGAGTTTTGCAATGGATAGAATGAAGGATGAATGTTGGGTTTTGTCGTAAACATACATGTTGAGGAACAACTATGACATATTTCTTACATCCTGATCAGCCAGTTTGGTATTCCAACTGTGCATGCCCAGACTGAAACCCATTCGAGGTCTTTCAGGAGCAGCAGCAAGCGAACGCGACTGTCTGCCTCATCAGCACAGCCATATGCACACTCAAGTGTGCACTTGGGTCCTGAAAAACCTTGCCTTTTTCAATTTCCGAAGTGGCTCATGAGCAAAGCACCATGGTCAAATGGTGTTATACTTTTCACTTATTTAGGGCAATACTAGTGTCTGAATCCTGACAGGGATCAGGGGGCTTGTGGTCCGTGGACAAGACCCTCATCAACAGGTGCCTCGGGTATTAAGGGAGTATCTCAAAATTCGGAACGGTCGGAATGTTCCCAATGGAAAGCTGTGTTCTCATTCCGGAACGTTCGGCCGTTCCGTTGGGAACGCGATGTTCCATGTGGAACGCTGTGTTTCTTTGTGAGAACGGTCCAATGGGAACGTCCCCCATTCGGGTAGCTTCATATTGACCATTCACAAATCTTAGCCAATGTCCAAAAATGGAGCCTGCCATGATAAACGAACTACTTTGCTTTTATGATAGGCCTAATTTTGATTTAGAATTGTAAGTAAACCTAAGATGGAATGTGATGTGGCAAAATTTATTAATGTAATGAAGGAAATTTTGTTTTTAACTGAGATAAAAAAGTGAAAATCACTATGTGCTGACTTCATGCTAAGTACATGTATATGTTGGTGTGTTCATCACTGGGCTGTAGGCTGCAATACCAACATCGAGCGTAATTGCCTTGGGCGTGTTGTTCAATCTTTCCCATGATATTTGAACACCTCACCCTGCACCCGTTCAATTACAGGTTAGGTTTTTAAATTGTTTCTGATATGATGGAATACTTATGCATTTAAACTTGCGAGGATAAATTCCTCTATCATGCAAACCTGACAATGAATAAAACACTCGCAAGTACAGACGTTAACATCAACACAATAAAATTAACGGTGTCCAGATATACTCTAAAGTCATTGCATGGTAATCTAGGCCATGATGAATATGGACAAGAAACAAGGGAGAAAAGTTAACCTTCATGAGGAGTAAATCACAAAATGCTGCACTCCAGCTGCCGTCCTGCAGACACAGGGTCAAGGAAATGAATGTCAAAAATCTTTATTCCCGATTGCAAATGGAACTGCAGGACCGTTCCACTGAGAACACGCGTTCCCAATGGAACGCTGCCTGGAACAGTCTGGAACGCCAGCGTTCCAGTGGGAACGGTCCAACGGAACAGGAACGTTCCTGATTTTTGAGACGCTCCCTAAGCACTTTGAGAATTATACACGAAATGTTCAATATTAAAGTTTGAAGCACCACATCTTATCATTGTTGTTAGACTCATCTTGTACTTTTTGAGTATATTTGTACAAAGTGTGACACGGCCTTACTGAATCACTCTTAGGATGTTACTCAAACATAAGGTTAATGTATAGATCAATCCAAATGGTCCTCACTTCAATATAATCTTTCACACAGAATAGGGGATTGGGGTTAAAGAAATAAGCCATTGACTAAACACTAAGATTAACCTGAGCAGTAGGTATGTTATGGGAATTAAACTCTTGAAAAATGCCCATTCATTGTTTATCACACAAATCATGCAGCCCCCCCCCAAAAAAAAACCCTCTTGCAGGCTAATTCCAGTGGCTACCACTTACTTCATTTAAAGAGACCACACAGTTGTCAAATGTTTCTTTTAGCCGAATTGATTCCATTTTCTTCTGCCAACTCCTCTCAGATTGTGGGTGAGGGACTTCGCGTCGACATGCTACCCGGCGTCTCCCCTCACATCGTCAAACTTATCAAGATCTGCATGAACGAAGACCCCGTCAAGCGGCCACGCTTTGACAGGATCATGCCCATCCTGGACAAAATGCGTACTTCGTAAAAGAAAATCACACGCAAAACACCAACGATGACCAACTATATAGAGAGAGGAGTTTCATGCACTAATTCAGCAGAACAGAATTAGCCGAGGCTGAGATGACTACTTTTGAAAGGCAGCAAAACCTGGTTGTGGCAGAGTCCATCACAAGTCCCAGCAAATCCATCACAATTATTCAGAGTTAATACAAGTCAATAGCTCTTCAAATGGGACTGTGACAAAAGCATTGTTTTGTTATTGTTCACCCCATTAATTATGACTAGTCTTGTGATAAGGTTTGTAATTGGTCTTGCTGAATGACTTAGGATGGACTCAACACCACACTGGCATCGCCATAGTTTAATTTGTACCCTAGGATACTTAACTGAACAGTTGTTACTTGTAATGCTGCAGTAGTTGAGAAATTATTCGCTCTCTGTTCTTACTTACATTACCTGCTACTGCTGCAGAACCTTTGCACAACAGCACCCTCTAGTGGTGAACATTTAAAAGTTTTGATTGTGGAGAAGATCTTGAGGGACAGTTTCTTTCCCATTTGTGGTTTCGGTTAGCACACATGCTATTCCAGACCATGGACCTGTAATTTGGATGCTCGCTTCCTGTCAGGTAGACGTAGGCAAAAGGTGTACTCTGTGTGCTATGGTCTGCACGCATTCACTTGTTAAGTGGTTGCCCGAGGCATGACTGACTTGTATGACTCACGAGTGTTAGTCACTTACTGCCCATCTGGCCTGTAGTAAGGGGCCTCTGCACATGGTGAATGGTCATTGTTAGGAGGACAAATATGTTAGTGATCCACTGATAAT